GAACCATGCAGGGAATCTCCTGCCTCTCATTGACCAGCTACTCTCTTACAAGACAACCCCCTATAGCACTCGGTTTCAAACGGGAAGGAAGCTTAGTGTTGGAGGAGTCATCACGCCAATCCTCTGTGCAGCTGGAGTCCATTTGGACAAGAGAAGGTCTACTCCAGCAGGATGGATGGACATTAAGTTTTGCAAGACCAACCTCCTCATTGAACACAAGAAGTTGGATTGGAGGTTCCAATTCAAGATCACACATCCATTGGCTGGCCCTTCCAAGCTTCTTTTGCCCAACCCTGAGCTCACCACGGTTCTAGGAGCTAGCAACATTGACTTCAGCCCTCCCCTTCACACATTAGTATGGCATGAAGAGGATTTGCGAGAAGAGGAACCTGAACTCGATCGAGCTGAGGATCGAGTTGAGGACCACGCTCAAGTGAATGCGGATTTGGGTGAGCATGAGTGCTATTATTTTGTGGAGTATGAGGCTCCAAGGATGAACCCCTCTGTTGTGGCTGCCCACAAGAGAATTGGACTTCTCCAAAGGTTCAACAAGTGGCAAGGGAAAGCCATGGACAAGATGCAAAAGTCCATTGATAAGATGGTGAGCAAGATCAAGAGTTTGGAGAAGAAGGTCTCTGGTTCTTCATCCAAGAAGAAGAAGGCAACCATGGCCCCTACTTTCCCTAGAAGTAGATCACTCCTCACCACCCCAAGGAGACTCCCTGCCTAAGAGCCTCACAGAGCCTCTTCATTCGAGACTAGGGAAGGAGGAAACAACACGCAGAGGCGGAGGAAGAGTTCCAAGAGCCGACTGATCGCGGGATCAGGTCTTCCCTTTTCCTATCCCTGATTCTGCAAGTGCACAGATCAAAAGTAGTAAACGGGTATCGAACACAAGGAGCAGATAAGTACACTTCGAGTATTGCAAGTCTAATATAGCTAGAAAACAAGTATGATTTAGGGTTTTGATTGTGTAACAAGTAAATCAAACAGCGATTAAACGGTTTATGAAAATCAATAAGGGAAACGCTAGGCAATGAGAAACTCGCAGAGATTCAAGGTAACAAGATATTAGAAGGTTTCGCTATCTAGAACTCAGGTCACGATTGTATGATCTTTCCACTGTCGAGGCTCCGACCCCTTTGTTAATCTACCTAGTCGCTAAACTTTTGGTATGTCCCTAGGTGATTAAATCAAGCAATAGTTCGTTCAAGACCCAATTGTTCACAACCCCGCATAGATCAACTTTCGCAGTCTATGAAGTTTTGCTCACCAAATACTTAGTTCAGGTTATATAGCAAGCTTTTGGAGAGTATATGAAACCTAAGATCTGATGCTAGTTGATCAGAAAAGCAAGCAGCAATGAATTCAAGCAGAGGCGAAGATGCGATATATAAACCCTAGGCATTTCTAACAACCTATCAAACCATGAACTCTTTGATAGATCTCACAACCTAACTAGTGAATTACTCAGACATAATCAAAGCAAAAACACAAAGAGATGAAGAAAACATGATTGCAATAAAATCAAAGTATGAAATCGTAATACAAGGCGGCTCTCTTTTCACAAGAGGCTAAAAAGTATATATATAGTGCTAGGTCTTTTGAGGCGGCTTAGGGTTAAGCCGGGCCTTGAAAATATGAAATCGGGCTTCAAAACGGGCTTCGGGTCGACCGCGGCGTTGGGACGGTCGGTCGACGATCGATCATCATCGGTCGGGCGGCGTGGTCGAGCGGATTGAGATTTGGCCGATGAGGTTTCTCGGCCGGACGTGGGACGTTCTTTCCCGGCTCGGACGGATGCATCGGCCGTGGTACGCGAGGGTTGCGCGGCCGCGAGGCTTTGTTCCCCGGCTCGCGCGGCATGGTCGTGCGCGGCGTGGCGTGAAACGTTGACTTGGCCGACCGCGGGACAATGTTTCCCGGGTCGTGTTGCGTGATCGGCCGGTCGGTTTCGAACTTTGGCCGAGACTTCAGTCGGACGGATGTGACTTTGGCCGAGCGCGAAACAATAGTTTCTCGGCCAGCCGGACTGCGCGGTTGGGCGCTGTTTTCTCGATAGAGCCGTCTGGACAGTCTCACTCTTTTGGTTATAACTCCTTTTCTACTCATCCAAATTAGGCCGTTCCAGTTGCGTTGGAAAGTTAACTCAATCAGAGCACGCAGGGAACTGGTCTTGATGAAATCCATTGAGTAGATCTTTTTCTGGGCCCTCTTAAAGTTGGTGCTTGTGCATGGAGCGGCTTGAAGTGCAAATCCTATGGTTTTGCTCCAAAATGCATCATTTCACCTGTTTAGACTCTAGACACTATAAACACAGTAAAACTACCTTTTTAGATAGAAAACCTGCCAAAAACCATTAGAAAACAATGCTAAAACAGTATAAAAAGTGGTAAATTAGAGGTATATCAACTCCCCCAGACTTAGATCTTTGCTTGTCCCCAAGCAAAAGAATCTAGATCCGTGAAAGAGGTTTGAAAACATGGAAACTCCCTTGCTCTTTTGAATATCCTGTGAAAGGTTCCTTTCCTGTATTCCACTATGAACATAGACAACATAAGGTTAGCTTCACATACACCCTGCAAGTTTAGCGAACAATACCAACCCAACTAGTCTCATCCAGCAATCCAAACTCTCTATGCTAACCTCTTGCATAAATTTAAAGCGTGAATTCTTTATCAAGGGGACATCGGTCAATTGAACTTGTTCTTACCCACTTGGTCTTCTCCAAGATTGTCTTTTCAAGTGCAATGAGTTCTTTTCCTCTCTCTTTCTCACATCCGAACTTTGAAAGGTCAATTTATCCCTACTTACCATTTGGGATGGGAGAGAGAGGAGAACTCTTAAAAGATTAGACAAATCTTGTTGAAAATCAAGCAAGGAGCTGTCGACATGTATGCCAACCCCCTTGACAAGAGTGATTAAGGTTGATTGAGGGTGAGGTTAACTCTAGATTGCTTGGTTACCTTAGAAATTTTGCTGAGTTAGCATGTCGATCCACTGTAAGAGCTTCTGTTAGGCTTGTGCCTTTAGCTGGTTTCTGCTACAGGGTCATGGATTGTTAGCACAACACTCTCAATTCTCAAAGCAAATTCATAACTTCGGGACTGGTTTTTGACTCGATAAAACTTTTTGAAAAACATGGAACAAAGTGAATAAAACATAAGAAAAGAAAGAAAAAATGCATTAGTAACACAAAAAAACTCCCCCCATACTTAACTTGCACCGTCCCGGTGAAAGCAAATCACATTAAGGTGAGAGGTAATATTCAAAGTAAAAGAAAAATAAATGAAAAGAAATGACCTTCAATGGGTTGCCTCCCATTCAGCGCTTTGTTTAAAGTCATTAGCTTGACTGTATGGCACTTCCTTAAGGATCTGGTGGATCGCCTAGAGCCAGTGTGGTCTCCTGTGGTATGGTGGTGGAAGCTAGATAGGGTTTTAACCTTTGTCCATTGACTGTAAAGTCTCCTCCCATTGGGTCTGATAACAGGATTTTACTATCAATTACTCAAATCCAGCTACTCATGTCATTGTAGCATTTGAGGTGTCAATCCAAATGGGAAGCTGATTACTCTATAGAACTATGCAGGAACTATCCAATTCAAGCCAAATGATAAATGAAGAAGGATTAAGCATAAACAACCTCTAACCTATCCCATCTTAAGCCCTAAAGGAACTACTCACTACACATGATAAAATAACCAACCAAATGCAATGAAATAGACATTGAAAGATAAGGAGATAAAGATAAACAACTTTTATTGAAATAAGCAAGTGCAAAAACACAATAACAAGGCCTAGATCTAGGGTTCTATGAGCAAGAGCTCAAGAACACAAAGAGAGGCTAAAAAGTAAAAAGGGAAATGCAAATACAAGATTAATTAAAAGGTTGAGCCAAAGCTGTGTTTAATTCGTGGCTCAATGCCTTTTATAGTAAAGCAAACTAGGTTTAGGGTCAAAGGAGGAGTCAAAGGGAAGCAACATTTTTCGGGTTTGACTTTGACTCCTGGAAAAGCAGCTCGATCGAGTTGGAAACTGGCCGGTCGAGCTGGTGGGTCGAGTCCAACCAAAATCGTCGTATCTTTGAACCGCTGGTCCGAATGACATGAAACCACCTCCAGACGAAAGCTAACTCAATTATCCACAACTTCCAAGAAGAAGTCAGAGGCTGAATCGGAGTGTAAACCTTCATTTGATACGATACTTCGGACGCATATCACTAGCTCGACCGAGTGCTCGTCCGTACATGGGGCAGACAGAGTCTTTCCTTCCTCAACTAGTCTCCAGTGATAGGCAATGTTCCAATTAGCTCCAAATGACCTGATTAAGACATCAAACGTGCATATGTATGCAAATGCAAGCCTAAAACTACTATGTATGCAAAAGAAGAGAAAACATCAAGAAATGATGCTTTGGGTGAATGAAACTATGCAAAAGTGGTATAAAAGAGGGCTAAAACCATGTAAAATGCAAGTACATCAACACCCCCAAACTTATCCTTTGCTTGCCCTCAAGCAAACAAATAGAACAAGAAAGAGATGAGGTTTGAAAACAAGTTGATTCAACCTTTAAAAACATGTCCTCAAAAGCGATTTGCTAAATGTCCAACTTAGAGATTCTAGAATGCAACAAGGTGAGAGATATTCATTAAGATTTAACCATGCTTATCAACATCAATCCCACTTCACAGTCACTCAAACAATGCATTCAAATCAGCAAATCCCTTTAACATTCATTAAGTAAAACAGTGAACCAAAAACATGCAAGATCAATCAACTCATTTGGTTTAAGGGTTTAAAGAGACAAAGAGGGTCTCTTTTGAGTGTATGGTGGTTTAGTAACAGGGATCTCTCAAGAAAGTGGCTTTGCTTTGGCAGAAGGCTAAGTGTTAGAACCAAAGATGATGCAAGAGCAGCAACTCGAGCCGCCTAATCCTAACTCGATCGAGTTCAACACTTAGAGCTTTTTAGAACAAAATCCTAACTACCCTTTTTGGCATTTCGCCTTTGAAACTGAGGAGCTTTGCTCACTTTTCTTTTAAGAACTTCCTAGGGAGAGGCTTCTTGAGGTAACATCTAGCGGTTTGGGATTTTCTAAACACTTAGGGAACTTTTCTTTTCTTTTGACACTTGAGGCTTTGCCTTCTTTTCATTCTACTTAGAACCCTTTTACTTTCTTTTTTTAACTTCCCAAACCTTTACTAGACCCTTTTTTAACACTGCCAACTCCCTGGACTTAACTAAACTCTTTTTCCTTTGGATTTTCCCAACTTTTACCACTTTTCTGGTTTTTACACCCAACTCGATCGAGCTCGAGTTGGCACCCCCAAACTTAGCCTGAAAACAATCCCAAGAGAACTAGACAACTAGAACTACTGCCCCTGCCGGTTTAAACACAACACCTTATGCTAAGCAAAGCCAAGAAAGGTTCTCACAATCGCACAAGAGATAATATGGGGTTTGAAATGAAAAAGGCTTAGGTTTAAGGTATGGTAACTGTCTCAAAGATGGAGATCAGCTATCTGGACAAGCAAGAGGGATATGAAAATAGGTAAAGAATGTCCAGATATGTATGTGGTAGCCATGAGTTGAAATCAAATGCAAGCATTGGTAATTAAAGATCAAGTTATGGTTCAAATAGATAGGGAAATGCATCAAATCACAGCAATGGTTGAATGAGATGTGCATGCAGTGATATGATCAAGATAAACATGGTTCTTGCTGTTCAATCAATCTCACCCTAATGCACAAAGAATCTAGAAATAGGGCACTTAAGAAATCGCAAATGATGAACAAGTTTTCAAATCAAATCAACAATGCAAATGAAAGATGCAATCCTAAACAATTCTAGCAAATATGAATGCAAAAAGATGAAAATATTTTTGGATTTTTTGAAAATTTTATGATTTTTTTGGTTTTTCTATGCAAATAGATGAAAAACTAAGAACAAATAAACAAGGTTAAATCATCTCTTGAACCCTCCCCCAAACTTAAATCACACAGTCCCTTGTGTGAAAGAAGCAAAGAAAGATTCAAGAGGGAAAAACAAAGAAAAATGCATGAAAATGAGATGGTATGTACAAGGGAAGAAACATTTGATACCTTAGTGCTCCCCAAAGAACTGGGAAGCAAGGTCATGAGTTGGAGAGGGCAGGAGACAATAGCATCATAACGGCATCAATCGAGCCAAAATAGGTGTGATTGGGATCGAGTGTGGCTCGAGTCAGAATAGCTTCCCTTTTGAACTAACTCCTGCAAGCCTTAGACAAAACAACTACAAAGAACTTAAATGAAAGATTATATACAAGATAGACATGGGAATTCCTCCCAAGTGAGCTTGTTTTAGGTCCCATAGCTTGACCTTTTACCTTTTAGGCATGAATGAGAGCGGTCCCGCCATCAAAGGTGACAGTAAGGACTGAAGATAGGAGCTCCTTGAGCTTGGTTTGATCTTTTTGAAGCTCAGACTGACCAAGGCATTGATACTGGAAAAGGGTTTAGACTTTCCCTTGCACTTGATCTTGTACTCAATCTTCCCATCCTTAAACCTTAGAGGGATCAAGCTTAGTTTGTTGGGAGATGGATCAATGGAGAGAGGTTGGGGTTCTTTCATCTTCCTTGTGGTTTCCAGATTAGCCCTTGTGGCTCTACCCACGTCCTTCTCTTGAGCACTTTCCATGTGCTCACCAAACAAGCTTTGTAGACACTCTCCATCTAGGACGCCTTTGACACACTCATGAAGCTTTTTCTGATTAGTTTTCTTCACCACTACACCCTCATCACGTTCAGCAAAACTATTCTCCTTAATCTCCAATGAGGGAAAGAAGAAATAGCTTACACATTTTTCATTGAGAGAAAATGCATCCTCTTGAACCTCCTCAAGATCACTCTCTTCTTCATGAGCCCATTGATTGGATTCCAAACCATAGTCTTGAGCTGTGCCCACGTCCTTAGCCTCTTCTTCATGCTGGGGTTCACCAAGTTTTCCATTATAACCAAGTGGTGTCATTTCTTCATTAACCTCAACAGAGGCATTATTAGAGATCTGAGAAGGCTCATGGTTCTCTTGGTAGCTTTGTTGAATTCCTTGAACTCCATGGTTGGACCAATGATTGAGAGACATACTCTTTTGGTTGGAGTTCCCATTCTGGACCACGAAATTGGCTTCCTCTTGGTTCTGCTCAAGATCCAAACAAAGTCCTCTTTCTTGCACACTTAGGAGCTTTTCCAATCTATCCAACTTATCTTGCAAAGCTGTCCACTTGAAGTCTTCATACAAACTCTCTTTGGGGATTGGATCATGGCTTTCATTGTAGCTTTCCTCACTCCTGGACAAGTTGTCAACAAGTAGCTCTCCTTGCTCTATGGTGAGGTTTAGAAAACTTCCTTTGCTAGCTACATCCAATGTCCATTTCTGCTCCTTTGCAACTCCCCAATAGAAATGGCTAAGTATAGCTTCTCTTGTAAACCCATGATGTGGACAATCCCTAGTGTATCCTCTCAACCTTTCCCATGCCTCATGAAAGGTTCATGGCTGCCTTGTTGGAAGCTCAAGATGTTTCTCCTCATTTGTTGTGTTCTTTGTATGGGATAGAACCTTAGAAGGAAGATTCTCTTGCAATCATCCCAACAATTGACCAAATGAGATGGTATGGCTCTCTCTCATTGGCTTGCCTTTTCTCCAAGTGAGAATGGAAACAAGATGAGCTTGATACTATCTTCAGGCACACCATAGATCCTAAACGTGCTACACAACCTCTCAAAGTAGTCCAAGTGATCATAAGGATTCTCCAATCCATTTCCCAAGAACTTAGAGCTTTGAATCAACCTTATCAAACTTGGCTTGATCTCATAGGCGTGGGCTTCAATGGGTGGAGGATGGATTCCATAACTAAACCCATCATAATGAGGAACATCACAATCTCCAACTGTGGGCGTGGCCACTTGTGCTTGGTTAGGAGTTTGGACAATTTCTGGAGGTTGTGGAGCTAGAGGAATGCTCTTGTAGCTGTCCATCTCAAACACCTCACATGATATTGTCTTCCCATTTCTCTCTTCTTAGTTTGGTACCTTGGAAAGCACAAGAGAATAAGAGAACACAAGTTAGTAACAACAAAAAGGAAAAAGTTCATCATCTCCTTGAGAGATGAACAAACATGAGAACTTGATCTTGCAAGCTACTGGAATTCTAAATGCAATCAAAACAATTCCCAATCGGCAACGGCGCCAAATTGATAACAGGATTTTACTATCAATTACTCAAATCCAGCTACTCATGTCATTGTAGCATTTGAGGTGTCAATCCAAATGGGAAGTTGATTACACTATAGAACTATGCAGGAACTATGCAATTCAAGCCAAATGATAAATGAAGATGGATGTAACAACTAAACAACCTAATATAACGGAAATGCAATGCAGAAAGTAAAAGAAAGCAGCTAAATGCAAGAAATTAACAAGAACAAGCAGATGCAAGGGAGCTCGACCAAGAGCTCGATCGAGTTGATGAGCTCGACTCGAAGTTGAGAGCTCGATCGAGTTGAGGGTCGAGTTGGTGAGCTCGATCGAGTTGAGGGTCGAGTTGGTGTAAAAACAGAGGAAATGCAATGAAAAGCGATAAAGGTGCAAACTTTAAGATGCTAATGCGAAGATTAGGGTTAAAGACAGGGTTTTGCAGCTAAAGGGAGGCTATACTTAATCAGTCTTGCTCTTAAACAACTTGTATCAAGGTATCTCTTGATATTGAGCTTCTCAATGCCTAGCTAACCCTTTCCCAAGGTGAAAGCTATCAACCAAGACTTGATCTCAGAAACAGGGGGTTAGCCAGTGAGAATCAAGCCTTGGAGGCCATAGGATCATTGCTCAAACTAATCCATCCAACCCCTATGAACTCCATTTCGAGAGCAAGAGTTATTGGAGCTCTTAGTGGACCTTTTCCAACGATTTCCATCACTTCCATGTGGAGAATCGCCTATGGACATACAAGCCAGGGGTAGTGGTCAAGAGAGACTAGATTAAGAACATAAGCAAGAAGGATTAAGCATAAACAACCTCTAACCTATCCCATCTTAAGCCCTAAAGGAACTACTCACTACACATGATGAAATAACAACCAAATGCAATGAAATAGACATCAAAAGATAAAGGAGATAAAGATAAACAACTTTTATTGAAATAAGCAAGTGCAAAAACACAATAACAAGCCTAGATCTATGAGCAAGAGCTCAAGAACACAAAGAGAGGCTAAAAAGTAAAAAGGGAAATGCAAATACAAGATTAATTAAAAGTTGAGCAAAAGCTGTGTTTAATTCGTGGCTCAATGCCATTTATAGTAAAGCAAACTAGGTTTAGGGTCAAAGGGGAGTCAAAGGGAAGCAACATTTTTCGGGTTTGACTTTGACTCCTGGAAAAGCAGCTCGATCGAGTTGGAAACTGGCCGGTCGAGCTGGTGGGTCGAGTCCAACCAAAATCGTCGTATCTTCTGAACCGCTGGTCCGAATGACATGAAACCACCTCCAGACGAAAGCTAACTCAATTATCCACAACTTCCAAGAAGAAGTCAGAGGCTGAATCGGAGTGTAAACCCTTCATTTGATACGATACTTCGGACGCATCTCACTAGCTCGACCGAGTGCGTCCGTACATGGGGCAGACAGAGTCTTTCCTTCCTCAACTAGTCTCCAGTGATAGGCAATGTTCCAATTAGCTCCAAATGACCTGATTAAGACATCAAACGTGCATATGTATGCAAATGCAAGCCTAAAACTACTATGTATGCAAAAGAAGAGAAAACATCAAGAAATGATGCTTTGGGTGAATGAAACTATGCAAAAGATGGTATAAAAGAGGGCTAAAACCATGTAAAATGCAAGTATATCAGGGTCCCATAGTACCACTGCTCCATAGGGGCGAACTTCTTTAATCCTGAATGGTCCTGACCATCTTGAGCGAAGCTTTCCCGGAAAGAGTTTCAACCTTGAGTTGAATAGTAGAACTTCGACGTTTGGCCCGAAGTTCTTTGGGATGATCTTGCGGTCATGGAAAGCTTTGGTTCTCTCCTTATAGATCTTTGAATTCTCATAAGCTAGATGCCTAATCTCATCAAGCTCATTTAACTGAATCAATCTTCTTTCTCCTGCTGTCTTTAGGTTGAAGTTCAACTCCTTAATAGCCCAAGCTGCTTTGTACTCCATCTCCACAGGTAAATGACATGCTTTACCATAAACAAGATGAAAGGGGGTTGTTGTAACGTATGCGAGAAGAAGCAGTAAACTTAAAGAACACGACACATAATTAACGTGGTTCACCAACGATGTGTTGGCTACGTCCACGGGCAAAGAGACTGATTTATTGATGGAGGCAGAATGTTACAGGATACATCAACATTAGGATAACAAGGTTACTTATAAGAAAGACCTAGAAACCCTAATAGTATGTGAGTTGGGCTTGCACACTGAAGCCCACGAAGACATCTTGGACTAACCATTGTGCGGCCCGTATGTAACATCACGCAGACTGCAGCTTCATCATGTAGCATCATACAGACTGCGACTTCAGCGTGTAGCATCACACAGACTGTAACTTCAGGATGCATACATTGCCAGATTCAAGGCATATCAACAAATCTCCACCTTGACTTGAATCCTCCTTACAACAACAGATGTACCAAATTTCTCATTTGCCTCAGATGTAACAGTTGCATCCTTACGATCAGGATGTCTCAGATGCACTCTTACTGTGCCATATGCTTCTTTCCGAAACCAGATGCTTCTTCTGAAGCCAGCCGCTCTTTCTGTATCCAGATGCTTCCTCCAAAGCCAGATGCTTCCTCCGAAGCCAGACGCTGAACCAGATGCTTCCTCCAAAGCCAGATGCTTCCTCCGAAGCCAGACGCTGAACCAGATGCTTCCTCCGAAGCCAGACGCTCCTTTGGAGCCAGGTGCTTCCTCCGAAGCCAGATGCTCCTTTCGGAGCCAGATGCTTCCTCCGAAGCCAGATGCTCCTTTCGGAGCCTGATTAATACCTTGTGATGTTCAGCAAGTTCAAGCAATGTTGGAACTTGCTGTTAGGAACTGGCTTCGTGAACATATCAGCAAGTTCCTACTTTCTTCACACTGATCCTCTTTTCACCTCTCAGAAAACGATACCTCACATCAATATGCTTGGTACGTTCATGATGAACTTGATCTTTAGCTAAGCAAATCACACTCAAACTGTCACAATACACAGTAGCCTGTTCATGATGCAAACCCATGCTACTAACCAGCCCCTTCAACCAAATACCTTCTTTAGATGCTTCTGTTAGTGCCATATACTCTGCTTCAGTAGTAGACAACGTGACAGTAGGTTGTAGAGTTGCTTTCCCACTTATAACAGAATCACCTAAAGTAAACACGTACCCAGTCATTGATCTTCGGCTGTCAACATCTCCAGCATAGTCTGAATCAGAGTAGCCTGTAACAAGACACGGTCTCTCACCACCGTAGATGAGACCAACATCAGACGTTCCACGAAGATATCGGAAAATTCTCTTCACAGCTTGCCAGTGCTCTTTCCCTGGTTGCCCCATAAACCTGCTAACAACACTGACTGCATGTGCAAGATCTGGCCTAGTACATACCATTGCATACATCAAGCTTCCAACAGCTCTAGCATAAGGAACCCGGGACATATACTCTTTTTCTTCCTCAGAGTGAGAAGCAAATATGGTGAGGTGAGCATTAGAAGCAAACGGAGTGTCAATGGGTTTCGCCGTAGACATCCCAAACCTTGCCAACACCTTCTGAATGTAACTTTTCTGTGATAGGAACAGCTTCTTCTGTTTTCTATCTCGAAGAATCTCCATCCCTAGAATCTTCTTAGCTGCACCTAGATCCTTCATGTCAAATTCTGCGCTAAGCAGACCTTTCAGCTTCTGAATGTCACACATACTCTTGGCAGCTACCAGCATGTCATCTACATACAGTATCAAATAGATGTATGATTCATCTTTCAACTTGTTATAGTAGACACAACAATCATAAGGACTTCTTGTGTATCCCAACGTGATCATATAACTGTCGAACTTTTTATACCACTGTCTAGGAGACTGCTTCAGTCCATACAATGACTTATTCAGCTTGCACACGTAGTCTTCCTTACCGGGAACATTAAAGCCCTCTGGCTGAGTCATGTATATCTCTTCTTCTAGCTCGCCATGAGATCAGGTCTTCCCTTTTCCTATCCCTGATTCTGCAAGTGCACAGATCAAAAGTAGTAAACGGGTATCGAACACAAGGAGCAGATAAGTACACTTCGAGTATTGCAAGTCTAATATAGCTAGAAAACAAGTATGATTTAGGGTTTTGATTGTGTAACAAGTAAATCAAACAGCGATTAAACGGTTTATGAAAATCAATAGAGGGAAACGCTAGGCAATGAGAAACTCGCAGAGATTCAAGGTTAACAAGATATTAGAAGGTTTCACTAGGGTTTGCGCTATCTAGAACTCAGGTCACGATTGTATGATCTTTCCACTGTCGAGGCTCCGACCCCTTTGTTAATCTACCTAGTCGCTAAACTTTTGGTATGTCCCTAGGTGATTAAATCAAGCAATAGTTCGTTCAAGACCCAATTGTTCACAACCCCGCATAGATCAACTTTCGCAGTCTATGAAGTTTTGCTCACCAAATACTTAGTTCAGGTTATATAGCAAGCTTTTGGAGAGTATATGAAACCTAAGATCTGATGCTAGTTGATCAGAAAAGCAAGCAGCAATGAATTCAAGCAGAGGCGAAGATGCGATATATAAACCCTATGTGACTTCTAACAACCTATCAAACCATGAACTCTTTGATAGATCTCACAACCTAACTAGTGAATTACTCAGACATAATCAAAGCAAAAACACAAAGAGATGAAGAAAACATGATTGCAATAAAACTCAAAGTATGAAATTGTAATACAAGGCGGCTCTCTTTTCACAAGAGGCTAAAAAGCTATATATATAGTGCTAGGTCTTTTGAGGCGGCTTAGGGTTAAGCCGGGCTTGAAAATATGAAATCGGGCTTCAAAACGGGCTTCGGGTCGACCGCGGCGTTGGGACGGTCGGTCGGATGATATCATGGTCGGGCGGCGTGGTCGAGCGGATTGAGATTTGGCCGAAGGTTTCTCGGCCGGACGTGGGACGTTCTTTCCCGGCTCGGACGGATGCATCGGCCGTGGTACGCGAGTGGTTGCGCGGCCGCGAGGCTTTGTTCCCCGGCTCGCGCGGCATGGTCGTGCGCGGCGTGGTGTGAAACGGATTGTGACTTGGCCGACCGCGGGACAATGTTTCCCGGGTCGTTGGTGATCGGCCGGTCGGTTTCGAACTTTGGCCGAGACTTCAGTCGGACGGATGTGACTTTGGCCGAGCGCGAAACAATAGTTTCTCTTCTTCCATCTCCATCACAGTGAGATCAGTTTGGATGATGCATTCTCCAATTTTCAAGTGATAGTTCTTGAACACTCCAAGAGGAGACTTAGAAGTTGCATCTCCAAACATGATTGAAGTAGTAGGGCGCTGCAAGGCTCCAGCAATGCCTAGCTTCTCTGCCATGGAGAGAGAGATCAGATTGATGCTTGCTCCAGAATCCACTAAGGCATTGTCAAGCTCAAGATGCCCAAGTGTGCAAGGGAGAGTGAATTTCCCTTGATCCTTGACCTTTGGTAGGAAAGGTGGGTGAAGTAAGCAGGTTGAACTGATGAGTAGACTCCTTCAGGACCTCTGAAACTTTATCACTGTTGGCAGAACATCCTTGACCATTTGCATTTGATCAAATGCCTCACTCATGCTATCCATAGGAGGCAACTCAATTCCAATCCCACTGAGATCTCTTCTGAACTTGTGAATCACTTCCTTGTGCCTTGACTAAGTAGGCGAGACGAGGAAGTGTCAACCGGTTGGTAAGGATCAAGCAAAATTGGTTTTGGACAGAAGAGGTCGGACTCGATCGAGCTAGAGTTCGACTCGATCGAGCTGCCGATCGAGCTTGTTGTGCGAGCTCAACTGGTGAAGTGTGAATGGCCACAGTAGGTGCCTGCACTTCTGGTTGATCAATCTGGACTCCAGGAGCCTCAGCAGCAACAATCTCATCATCATTCAGCAGTAAACAAAAATCTTCAATGACCCTTTCTTGATCCTCTTCTTCAACAAGTCCTTCTTGAGTGAAGATGACCTTGCACTGTTCCTTGGGGTTCTGAATAGCTTTACCAGGTAGTTGTCCTTGCTTTGTAGCAGCAGCAACAGAAGAAGCATGATTCTCCAGAGAGTAAACCCTTGTGTTGAGATTCTCGATCTTGGAGTTTATTTCAGCTAGCTTCTTGCTTGTGTCCATGATATACCTCTAATTTACCCACTTTTTATACTGTTTTAGCATTGTTTTCTAATGGTTTTTGGCAGGTTTTCTATCTAAAAAGGTAGTTTTACTGTGTTTATAGTGTCTAGAGTCTAAACAGGTGAAATGATGCATTTTGGAGCAAAACCATAGGATTTGCACTTCAAGCCGCTCCATGCACAAGCACCAACTTTAAGAGGGCCCAGAAAAAGATCTACTCAATGGATTTCATCAAGACCAGTTCCCTGCGTGCTCTGATTGAGTTAACTTTCCAACGCAACTGGAACGGCCTAATTTGGATGAGTAGAAAAGGAGTTATACCAAAAGAGTGAAGACTGTCCAGACGGCTCTATCGAGAAACAGCGCCCAACCGCGCAGTCCGGCTGGCCGAGGAACGATGTTCCGCGCTCGGCCAAAACTGTGTCCGTCCGTCTGAAGTCTCGGCCAAAGTCCAAAACCGCTCGGCCGATCACGCATCACGACCCGGGAAACTGCCCGCGGTCGGCCACGCCACAACCGCCACGCCACGCCGCGCGAGCCGGGAAGTAAGCCTCGCGGCCGCGCAACGTCTCGCGTACCACGCACGATGCTCCGTCCGAGCCGGGGAACTATGTCCCGCGTCCGGCCGAGAGATTTCATCGGCCAAATCTATCCGCTCGACCACGCCGACCGACCGTGAATCGTCCGACCGACCGTTCCGACTCGGCCACAACCCGATTCCGGCCGATCGTCCCGACCGACCGTCCCAACGCCGCGGTCGACCCGAAGCCCGTTTTGAAGCCCGATTTCATATTTTCAAGCCCGGCTTAACCCTAAGCCGCCTCAAAAGACCTAGCACTATATATATAGCTTTTTAGCCTCTTGTGAAAAGAGAGCCGCCCTTGTATTTCGATTTCCTACTCTAAGTTTTATTGCAATCATGTTTTCTTCATCTCTATGTGTGTTTGCTTTGATCATGTCTGAGTAATCCACTAGTTAGGTTGCTAGGGTTACTATTCAATGAGTTGCTTGCATGATCTTTGATTTCAATGATTAGCTAGGGATTATATTAGAGTCTTTGTCTCGTCTTGTGCACTTAACTAATGCTGATTGCTTTACCGCGCATCTAGTAATCCGATCTTAGGTTGATTTGAGCCTCGACAGTGCTGTATCATTCGCCGGACATATTCTTTGACAAGCTAGGTTTCTTAGACTGCGAAAGTTGATCTATCTATATCTAGTGAACTGTATCAGAACCTATTCATTCTAAAGCTTGATTTAATCACCTAGGGACATACCAAAAGTTTAGCGACTAGGTAGATTAACAAAGGAGCCGGAGCCTCGAAAGTGGAATGGTTTTATATTCGTGATCTGTGTTCTAGACGGTTCTTAATATCCCAACATCCCTAATCAATTCATCTATCATTGTTTCATTGATCATTGCTTGCTTCTCTGCGATAGCCCCTATGACCTAGCGCTTTTCCCTTATTGATTTACAACCTCGTTTACTTGCTAGTTCGTTCACCATTACAACCTCAAGCCTCAGATCATAGCATTGGTTAGACAGAACCAATTCAATGGACTTCCAGCTGAGCACCCTCTTGATCACATAGAAAACTTTGAAGAAATTTGCAGCACTACAAGATCCAATGGAGTCTCTGCTGACTACCTTAAGTGCAAGCTCTTTTCATTCTCTCTTGGCGACAAAGCTTCAAGATGGTTGAAGTCTCTGCCAGCTCACTCCATTACCACTTGGGATGAGTACAAGGCTGCATTCATCAACCACTTCTACACCAAACAGAGATCAATTTCTGTAAGGAACAAGATCTCCACTTTCGCCAAGCCAACAATGAATCTTTCTATGAGGCGCTAGATCGATTCAAGGAGTACATTAGGGACTGCCCTAATCATGGTTTCAATGAGGGAAACCTATGGAACATCTTCTATCGTGGCATAGACCACAAGTACAAGCTTTCATTGGACACTGCAAGCAATGGAAACTTCATGACCAAGACTGTTGATGAAGCTAAGGTTCTTATTGAGAATCTTGCAGCTAGTGATTGTAACAACTGTCCTGATTATGACCGCTCAAGCCGCACCACTACTAGCTCCCCTGATTCTTTTCAAATGACTGAACTCAAGAACATGATGGCTCAAGTTCTTAAGGGACAGCTCAAGCATATCAATGCAATAGAAGGGATGAGTGATGCTAATGAAGATTCATCAAGAGAATGCATGGGAGATTTCTCTAATGAAGCCAATGAAGAAGATGTGAACTACATTGGAAACTATGGGAACAAGGGATACAATCCAAGCTATCGCCCAAACCCCAACATGTCTTATAGAAACCCCAATGTGGAGAATCCTCAAGACCAAGTGTATCCTCCAAGGTATCCACAACAACAAAGACCTCCTTACCAATCTCAAGGAAGTCAATTTCAGCCAAGGCAAGGATATGAGCAGAGATCATCATATCCGCCCAAGGAGCCATATGCTTCTTCACCAAATCAAGCTCCTCCAAACCAACAAGGTGGGAGATTTGAAGGAATCCTCCAACAGATCATGGATGGCCAGAAGAGAAACACTAAAGAGATGTATGAGAAGATGGACACTTTGTTCAGCAATCTCAACACCAAGTATGATGCTGTTGCCACTCATGTGAAGAAACTAGAGACTCAAGTCACTCAAACTATGGAAGCTGTTAAGAGACAGGAAGCTGAATCCAAGAAGTCCTTTTGCAACTCAGCCGCCATAGAAGAAAGATTTGAAGACCAAGTTCCAGAATGGATGCTTTCAAAACCTACTGTTGATTGCATGATTTGGCCTGAAGAGAATTACCCAGAGAGAGAGTCCAATCGAGCTAGAAAGAGAAGACTCTTCCCAAAGATTATCCCCAAGACAGATAACTCAGGAAAGTTTGTGTGCCTTGTATCATCAAAGGTAACATTCTTGAGCAATCTTTGTGTGACACAGGAGCCAATGTGAACATCATGTCTAAGAGGATAGCTGACAAGATAGGCCTCACCAAGATAGAGCCATCATCCATCTCCATCAACTATGCTGATTCATTCTCACAAACCCCTATGGCTTTGTGCCTAATGTGATGGTGCAGATTGGAAATTGCTCTATCCCTACTGATTTCCAGATTGTGGAAATGAGAGAGAGTAGCCATAGACCTCTCATATTTGGAACCCCTTTCCTGTCTACTGTGGGTGCCATATTTGATTTCCCCAATCAAAGAATCTCTTTCAACAAGGTGAACAAGGGTATGTTCTTCCCTATGTGTTCAACAAAGAACTCTTTTGTTGACATGGTCCAAGAGGAGAAAGCTACTTTGAAGCCACCCCAAGAAGGAGAAACTGAAGAAACAATCAAGGAAGATCCCATTCCTAAGCCCAAGCAGCTTGCCAAACAAGCAAGGAGTAAGACTAAGGCCCCTACACCAAAACCGCCCAAGGGATCAACCAAGATTGAAGATGAGGCCAAGCCAAGAAGAAGGTTAGAAAGCCTAGGTCTGGCCGCAACATGAAGCTTCTATTCCCAAAGGAGCTTATTGATGAGAATCTAGAAGGATTCAAGGAGAAAGTGACAAGAACTCTAAAGCTTTTTCCTAAGGCAGTAGTGCCAAGGGACATTCATGGAGAGATTGTCTATCCAGCTGTGAATCACCCACCAGATACTCATTGCAAGGAGAAAAGACTTGGAGGATCAAAGATGCCTCTTGTCTCCATCTTCTCCTGAGCGCCAAGCCTTACAGTCAAGCTAAAGACTTAAAACAAGCGCTGCATGGGAGGCAACCCATGAGGTACTTTTACTTTTCTTTCTTTAATTTTCTTAGTTTTTGTTTTGCTTTTGTGTTTTCTTTGTTTTAAGATAGGATAGAAGGAGAAAAAGGTGTGAAAACACAATCCGCGCCAAAACATTGGCCGCGGACGCGCAAAAGTGAATTTTGGCCGAGCAATTCCAATCTGGCCGACCGTACGGTCGAGCCGGGAAGGAAAAGCCGTGCTCGGCCGGATTATTATCGCGCGACAGAAACCGTTCGCGCGGCACGCACGAACCGGGAAAGAACAGGCCGCGATCGGCCGATTTTCGTATCGGAACGGACCGACCGTGCCGGTCGATCCGGGAAACAAACGATCGGCCTCGGCCGAAATCTCTCGGCCAAAAAAATTTGGCCGACCAAATCGCTCGACCGCGACAAAATCCATCGGCCATCGGCCCAAACTTTTCTCGGCCAAGGTAAGTCCCCTTTTCATTAATTCAAACCGGTTTTAACCAATCTAAACCAACTTAAACCGGTTTTCAATCAAAATTCGAATTTGAAAAGGAAAATTGATAGGATTAGATCTTATTTACTTCACCTTTCCCTTGAAAACAACAAGAACCTCTCTTTCTTCTCCAAAACCCTAAACTCCATTAGAGGAACTCTAAGAGTTTTGATTTCAAAACTTTTACTGTTCATAACTCTAAATTGGAATTTACTTGCTCTTGCAACCTTATTCACTTTTCAACACACAAGGTATGTCTTCTAACTCTAATCCTATGTTTATGCAAGATCGAAAATTTCAATAAGTTTCATGTTTGGTCTAAACTCTTGTCTAGACTTGAAATTAGCATCCTTATTAGTCTTGTAATGAACTTGCTAGGTGGAACCTAGGTGGTTTAGAGTTAATTTGAAGTTTAATTTCACAATTGAATAGTTTTTCACAAAACTTATTGGGCATTCCAAACCCCTTATTCAAAGGTGAAATTGCTTAGGCATACTTCAATTCATTAGTTTATCTAGTGATTACTTGGATTAGAAACTCAATTTCTCTTGATTTGCTGAAAATTTTGATTTTAAGCACCATAATCTTGGGATGAACAGTAAAATCCGAAAATTAACTTTGAAAAAGTGAAATTTCTATTTTGTCTCTTTGATTCATGATTAAGCCTTGAGTTGTTCCATTATTCCATATCATTATTACAACTCAATTAGCTTATTCTTCTTTTGCATTAATCACAAACTCATATTTCTTCCCAAGAATTTGCTCTTGTAGGTACACCAATGGCAAAGACAAAAGGAAATGAGAGTATGAAGAAGAAGAAGAACCCATTCATGGAACCACCAAAGAAACAAATCAAGCTAGGGAGTAGTAGCTCCAATGCAAGAGCAGCAATACCAACTTCACCACATTCCATTGATGCAATCAAGAACATGTGGAGAGTCCAAGAAGAGGAGAAGATGATTGGGCACTTGTAACCTTTGTTGGAGAACAAAATCAAGACCCAAGAAAGTGTAAGAAGGCAATGGAGAAGGTGAACATCGAGCCATGTGTGAAGATGGACACCCAAACCCTTGATCTTCTCAAGATAAGAGATGATGTCACATGGTACATAAGGAAGCTAGGCTTGAGCAAGCTCTTCAAGCTAGAATGTAGTGAGTACTCACAACTCACCAAGGAGTTCCTCTCCACAGTAGCTCTTGCCTTTCCCAACCACAATGGAGACCAACCAGCTGGTGATGGACTCCTACTCTTCAAGATAGGCGATGCCAATGGGCGCATCTCCATCTCAGCTCTATGCCAACTCTTTGGACTTCCCAATGAGACAGCACATGACTTCAAGGAGAACTCAAAGAGGAAACAAGCTGCCTTTGCTGATTGGACACACTTTGCCAATGAACCATTCTTGCCTTCAAGGTCAAAGGTGTCTAGAATCACTCATCCAGCCATTCGCTATGTGCACCGCCTCATCTCCACCACTTTCCAATGCAAACAAGAAGCCAACAAGGTCACAACTGATGAGTTCTACATCCTCACCACACCATTCATCAAGCATGAGTACAAGGCCAACCTTGGACTTTTACTTGCCAAGACATTCATCAATGTGAGGAAGCTAGCTCAAGACTTGGAAGGCAACAAGAAGCTTTGTGTTCGTTTTGGGAGGCTTATCACGGCCATAGTACTGCATGTGGGGATTGACATTCCCAACTATGAGCCACTACCCAAGCCAACCCCTTTGGATCTCCATGCTCTTCAGCACATCCACTTCCTAAACCGTTGGACTAAAGACCCAACTCGGTTTTGCTATGAGTTTCCAATTGGTCCAGCCAACACTTCCCTTGTCTTGCTGCCACATGAAGACATCCCAAGCCTACGCTCAGGAGTTGTCACTTTCCAGCCCAATGAGGAAGACTTCTATGTTCCATCAAGTGAGAAACCATCATTCCCCATGCTCACCTATCGCACACTTCAGCATGCAGTCAAGACTCAACGCCGCCTCCAAGAACGCCATGTTCTCACTACTGGCATGGCGCGCACCAAGCTCTAGACCGTGTTAACAAGCTGGAGAAGATAGTGGAATGCCAATCTCGCTTCATCTCACGCCTAGTCCGTGTAGTTCGCCACATTGCACCGGAGAGACTCTTTCGCCCTTCTTCCACCGCTAGAGAGCCATATGAGCCTGACCTTGGTGAGTTCTCACTAGACTCAGAGCTTGGTTCAGAAGGCGATGACCCCATAGATGAGGAAGAGAGTTCTTCTCACTGCCACACATAGTCATCTCAAGTGGTACTTAGTGCAATGGACACTTACAAATCTCCATTTTCTATCCCTATCTTATTTTAATGAATTTTTCTTTATTTTTCTTTTACTTTGAATATTACCTCTCACCTTAATGTGATTTGCTTTCACCGGGACGGTGCAAGTTAAGTCTGGGGGGAGTTTTATTGTGTTACTAATGCATTTTTCTTTCTTTTCTTATGTTTTATTCACTTTGTTTCATGTTTTTCAAAAAGTTTTATTGAGTCAAAAACCAGTCCGGAAGTTATGAACTTGCTTTGAGAATTGAGAGTGTTATGCTAACAATCCATGACCCTAGAGCAGAAACCAGCTAAAGGCACAAGCCTAACAGAAGCTCTTACAGTGGATCGACATGCTAGCTCAGCAAAATTTCTAAGGTAACCAAGCAATCTAGAGTTAACCTCACCTTAATCAATCTTAATACTCTTGTCAAGGGGGTTGGCATACATGTCGACAGTTCCTTGCTTGATTTTCAATAAGATTTGTCTAATCTTTAAAGAGTTCTCCTCTCTCTCCCATCCCAAATGGTAAGTAATGTTATGAGAAAAAGCTCAAAGAGCACAAGGAAAACAAGTAAGCATGAGGAATGCATATGTCTGTACCTTCATGTCTTATGGAATACCTTAGTCAAACAAGGAACAAGCTAAAGACTTATCCTGTGGTTGAAAGAAGGGTCAATAGAAAAAATAAAATGATACCCTAGAAAAGTAGGGAGAAATTGACCTTTCAAAGTTCTGATGTGAGAAAGAGAGAGGAAAAGAACTCATTGCACTTCAATCTTGGAGAGGATCAAGTGGGTAAGAACAAGTTCAATTGATCGATGTCCCCTTGATAAAGAATTCACGCTTTAAATTTATGCAAGAGGTTAGCAATAGAGAGTTTGGATTGCTGGATGAGACTAGTTGGGTTGGTATTGTTCGCTAAACTTGCAGGGTGTATGTGAAGCTAACCTTATGTTGTCTATGTTCATAGTGGAATACAGGAAAGGAACCTTTCACAGGATATTCAAAAGAGCAAGGGAGTTTCCACGTTTTCAAACCTCTTTCACGGATTTAGATTCTTTTTGCTTGGGACAAGCAAAGATCTAAGTCTGGGGGAGTTGATATACCTCTAATTTACCCACTTTTTATACTGTTTTAGCATTGTTTTCTAATGGTTTTTGGCAGGTTTTCTATCTAAAAAGGTAGTTTTACTGTGTTTATAGTGTCTAGAGTCTAAACAGGTGAAATGATGCATTTTGGAGCAAAACCATAGGATTTGCACTTCAAGCAGCTCCATGCACAAGCACCAACTTTAAGAGGGCCCAGAAAAAGATCTACTCAATGGATTTCATCAAGACCAGTTCCCTGCGTGCTCTGATTGAGTTAACTTTCCAACGCAACTGGAATGGCCTAATTTGGATGAGTAGAAAAGGAGTTATACCAAAAGAGTGAAGACTGTCCAGACGGCTCTATCGAGAAACAGCGCCCAACCGCGCAGTCCGGCTGGCCGAGGAACGAATGTTCCGCGCTCGGCCAAAGTGTCCGTCCGACTGAAGTCTCGGCCAAAGTCCAAACCGACCGGCCGATCACGCATCACGACCCGGGAAACTTGCCCGCGGTCGGCCAAGCACAACCACGCCACGCCGCGCACGACCAAAGCGCGCGAGCCGGGAAAACGCCTCGCGGCCGCGCAACGCTCGCGTACCACGGCCGATGCATCCGTCCGAGCCGGGAAAGAACGTCCCGCGTCCGGCCGAGAATTTCATCGGCCAAATCTATCCGCTCGACCACGCCGGCCGACCGTGAATCCGTCCGGCCACGACCGTTCCGACTCGGCCGATCCCGACCGACCGTCCCAACGCCGCGGTCGACCCGAAGCCCTTTTTGAAGCCCAAATTTCATTTTCAAGCCCGGCTTAACCCTAAGCCGCCTCTAAAAGACCTAGCACTATATATATAGATTTTTAGCCTCTTGTGAAAAGAGAGCCGCCCTTGTATTTCGATTTCCTACTCTAAGTTTTATTGCAATCATGTTTTCTTCATCTCTATGTGTGTTTGCTTTGATCATGTCTGAGTAATCCACTAGTTAGGTTGCTAGGGTTACTATTCAATGAGTTGCTTGCATGATCTTTGATTTCAATGATTAGCTAGGGATTATATTAGAGTCTTTGTCTCGTCTTGTGCACTTAACTAATGCTGATTGCTTTACCGCGCATCTAGTAATCCGATCTTAGGTTGATTTGAGCCTCGACAGTGCTGTATCATTCGCCGGACATATTCTTTGACAAGCTAGGTTTCTTAGACTGCGAAAGTTGATCTATCTATATCTAGTGAACTGTATCAGAACCTATTCATTCTAAAGCTTGATCTAATCACCTAGGGACATACCAAAAGTTTAGCGACTAGGTAGATTAGCAAAGGAGCCGGAGCCTCGAAAGTGGAATGGTTTTATATTCGTGATCTGTGTTCTAGATGGTTCTTAATATCCCAATATCCCTAATCAATTAATCTATCATTGTTTCATTGATCATTGCTTGCTTCTCTGCGATAGCCCCTATGACCTAGCGCTTTTCCTTTATTGATTTACAACCTCGTTATACTTGCTAGTTCGGTTCACCATTACAACCTCAAACTCATACTTTTGTTTTAGCTTGATCCAAAATCCATAGTTACAAAGTGTACTCAATAGCCAGTCCTTGTGTTCGATACCCATACTTCCGCGATCTGTGCACTTGCAGAGGTCTAGGAGTTTGGTAAAACCTGACTCACATCAGTCCACTACAAGCCATCAGGTTGCCCTTGAAGCAATTGTTTCAGCATTGACTTGAGCTCATTCTCTTGCGTAGGTGCAGGCTGGGGTGGTTGGTGGGGAAAGCCAGGGGGTATGTGCATTTGCTGACCAGGGAAAGTCCCTTGGGGTCCTTGGTAATTGTTCTTTTGACCATATCCATGTTGTGGGGCTTGACTCGATCGAGCTTGCTATTGTTGAGGATAGACCTGGTCCTGAGGGTTAGCAACATCAGTGTTTCGGTATGACATGGCTGGATTGGACTTGTAGTTATAGTATCCTTTGTTGTAACCTCCTTGCCCATTGCTCATGTAACACACTTCAGCAAATTGTGTATCCTCCCCTTCTTGGACTTGTTCCATCTCTTCAGCAGACACAAAGTTGACTTTCTTCATAGTGGACTGAGCTAGGATCAGCTTATCCAACTTCA